ATCCTTGTGTACTACTTGTTTTTTATTTTTAATGTTTGTTATAGTTATGTTATCTCTATCTCCTATTTCTTCTACCTTATAAGGACCTGTATATTTAAAGTCCAGCTTATGGCCAGTTTCATTTTTTAATAAAACCTGATCGCCTATTTTTAATTCAAAGTCTAAGCTATTTTTATCGTATCTATCTTTTGTTTTTGTTTATTAACATCTAGCATTATTCTAGCTCTCTTATATGCCTGTTCTAATCTAAATTTTGATTCCTTAGCATAGTCTTCTATATTATAAAGGGGTTCTATTCTATCTATGCTATTGAAATGTTTTGGCAAATTTGAAGTTTTACCAAAAACTAGTTCATATGGACAATAATCATGTGCCATAGAGGGGGTTGTGTTAAAACAATAAACGAAGTATTGTAGCCATACATCCCAATCTGTTTTGTCGACTGAGATGTATGAACGAATGAACTCATTAAGTGTTCTGTGGCTTCGCTCCACGGTTCCTACTGTCTGGTGATGGTGTGCAGTTGAAGTAATGTTTTTAATATGTAAGTTTTTACATAGATCTTCAATAATTGAATTTTTATATTCCGTTCCCATGTCCGTAATGAACGTCTTCATTGGACCGTACTTTAGAATAAAATCTTCAAATATAGCTTTTGCTACTGTATTTGCACTTTTGTTTGGTATGGGTATAGCTACTAAATATTTAGTTAAATCGCAGATGAGTGTTACTGCGTATTCATTTCCATTATTTGATTTTGGTAGTGGACCAATTGTATCCACAATTACCCTGTCGAAAGCTCGTTGCGGAGTTTCGGTTATAGTTAATGGGGTCTTAGTATGTTTAGTCGTTTTAGACTTTTGGCATTTTGGACATTTTCTTATGTACTCTTTTATGTCTTTAGACATATTTTTCCAGTAATAGTGTCTCTGGACCTTGGCCAAGGTTTTTGTAATGCCTGTGTGACCACCTTGTATTGGATCATCATGTAATGTAGACAGTATTGCTTCTTTTTCTTTATTATTTTTTATTACGGTCACCGGGTTGAGTAGCGCTACTCTTAATAATTTCAATATTTTATTGCCCATTATTTTAAAATTATCAATTGAAACTAGTTCAAAGATATTTTCCCACGGTGCCACTTTGAGTTGGCTGATTTTGTTAATACCGGCCTGCTTTTCAAGCCTTTGGAAGAATTGACCTAAGTCAAAGGTTCCATTAGTATACAAATCGCTAACATCATAACTTGCTGTAATTTTCTTTCCGTGTTTGAATAAACACATTTTATTATTTACATGCAAGGTCACTACTTTACGTACTTCATCATTATTAATGACTTCATATACGTTGGGCTTTGAAGCTTTTTCTTCAGATTGCCTAAGCAATTCTGTTTCTTTGTCTCCTGCGCAGGATTTCTGTCTACTTTGATTTCTTGTAGTGACTTTTTTTATACTTCCAGTAATGTTTTGTAGCTCCTTGATGGTTATTCTTGATAATGCATCAGCTACGTAGTTATCTTTTCCCTTCAGGTATTCTACCGTAAAATCGAATTCCTCTAATTCAAGCCTCATACGTGTTAATTTAGAGCTAGGATTTACCATTGAGAACAAATATGTTAGTGGTCTATGGTCTGTTTTAACCGTAAAGTGGTTTCCATAAATATATGGTCGAAAATGTGTTATAGCCCAATGAATAGCGGCTAATTCTTGTTCAGTGGTACTTTTGTTACTTTCTCCTTTAGTAAAGGATCGTGATGCATATGCAATTGGAAGTTGGAGACCATTATGGTTTTGAGTTAGAACCGCTCCACACGCTTGCTTACTTGCATCGGTTATTATGCAGAATTCTTTAGAAAAATCTGGATATTGTAACAGTGTTGGATTTATAAGTGCCGTTTTAAGATGATCGAAGGCATTCTGGCATTCAGATGTCCATTCGAATTTTACATCTTTTTTACATAACCTGGTTATGTGACGAGAATAGTCGGCAAAATTTTTTATAAAGCGCCTATAGTAATTGCAAAAAGCAACGAATCGTCTAGCGCTGTCCGCATCATGTGGGACTGGGTAATTCTTTATAACGTCGTATTTTTTATCGTCTGGCAAGATTCCTTTATCTGTGCATTTATGTCCCAAAAATGTGACTTCATGCATGAAAAATGAACATTTTTCAGGATGTAACTTTAGGTTATGTTGCCTACATTTCTCAAAGACATCAGTTAAGTTCTTGAGCATATGTTTTTCGGAACATCCTATGACTATTAAGTCATCCATATAAAGAAATGCTTGCGAAGGCTCTAATCCAGAGAAGGCGATAGTCATCATTCTCTGAAATGAGTTTGGGGCTATCTTCAAGCCAAATGGTAATCGCGTAAAGCGATACGAGCCATTGCTCGTTGAAAATGACGTTATATCCCTGGAACTTTTTTCAAGTTCAATTTGGTGAAAACCAGACATTAAGTCTAGGCATGAAAAATATTTTGCTCTACCTAGTTGATCTAGAATATCATCAATTCTAGGTAGTGGGAATTTATCGGACAATAGCTTTTTATTAATTTGACGATAGTCGATTACTAATCGCCATTTTTTCTTGTCAGAGTCCGGGAGGGACTTCTTCGGAACTAATAAAAGGGGGCTATTATAAGCTGAAGTTGATGGTTCGACTATTTTGTCATCTATCAATTTTTGCACTTGAGATTGGATTTCTTGTACTTGGCTGTGAGGGCTTCTATAGTTCTTAATGTATACAGGCTCATCATCCTTCACTCTAAGCTTTTGCTTGTAAAAATTATTTGTTGTTATCGATTCGGTTTCCAGTCCGAATATGTCTGTATATCTGGTGCATAACTCTTTTAATTCATTTTTGAACAAAGGCGGAAAGTTTTTAATTAGCTTTTTCATAACGAAGTCATCTCTTCCTTCGTTAGTTTCTTTTATTATGTCATAATTATTTAGAGTTTCATATTTAATTTTATTTAAATTTACAATCTTATTGGAATTTGTTGTATTTATAATACGGACATAAGTATTTTTGTGATTGGATATCGTATTTGCGATATAAATTCCTTCATCAATTTCTTGATTTAATATCAGTATTTGATTTTTTACTGAGGGAATTTGTATTTCACGGACAACTTCGGAACGAGCTGGGAGTACTGTGGCATTATTTTCACAAGTATGAAGTATTTGTAATTTAATGGGATAATTTAAGTTGTTTGGGCGAAGAATTAGTGAGTCGCCACTCTGTGTGAAATCTAATTGGCAATTATATTGTTTTATGAAATCTATTCCTAGTATGCCATCACTAGGTATTGGGAAATTTTGCTCGACTAAATAGAAGTCGTGCGGAATTATATATTTACCTGTAGTTAGTTCTATACAGGCTAAACCTTTTGAAGAGATTGTGCCTTCACCTATTCCCGATATTTGGGTATGAATTTTATCATTTACATTTTCAAATATATCTACATTTTCTTTTAATATAGATATATCTGCACCAGTGTCAAGCAACAGTGTATAAGGTTTACCTGTTCTTTCATTGATAATTTTTACAAAGATGCTGAGATTAAGGTTGATGGTTTTTACTGAGCCATTTTTGGGCTCTAAATAGCTGAAGGGTTCTGCTAGTTTCCCGAGTTACCTTGGGTTACTCGGACATTATTCTGATTATTGGATGTCCCGTGGTTGTTTCCGCCACGGTTATTTCCACCACGGTTATTACCTCTATTATAATTACTGTTTTGATTATTATAATTCCGGTTGTAACCGTTATTTTGGTTATAGCCATTGTTTCGGTAGTTACCTCGGCTATTACCCCTACCGCGATAATTGTATCTGTAATTGTTACCGCGATAGTTGTTTCCTCGGTGGGCGTACAATATTGAATTGGAATTACCTGTCATTTCAGTACTACATTGTATGTACTTAGTGACGGCCTCATTCATGTTCGTGAAATTTCCTGCTTCTAATATTGTTTTTAGTCTGCCATGCTCACAATTTTTAACCATTGTGGTGATGGCTTCCTTCGTGCTGAATTTGTCAGCGTGTTCGGCCGAAAGGCCTTCGTCAATATATGAAGCTTCGAGGAGCTTTCGTAGGTTGTCTATTTCTGATGTGAATTTTTCGGCTGTTTTGCCTTTCTGTATTGTTTTTGACATTTTTGCTTTCACCACGTCGGATGTTTCACCGACTATAGTGTCTTGCAGTTTCTTTATTATTGCTTCTATTGTTGTTTCATTCTGTACTCTGTACAGCGTTGATCCTACAATTTTGGATTTAATAACTTCTACGGCTAAATTTTCGAAAGTGCCTTTCGTAAGGTTAACCAACTTCAAAGCTGTTACAAATCTCTGAAGCTGTATCCTTTGCCCGTTGAATTCCGGGATGGTACTCGAAATCTCCTTAATATATGCCCTTTGGGCAATGGTTTCGTCAGCCATTGTGGTCGGTTTTACTTCTACAATGCTGTCGTTATTATCCGTGTCCGTCAGGTCCTGATCTGATAATTCAGATTGAATGAGGACTGCAGGAATAGTGAGGTTGTTTATATCTTTTTCCTCTATTTCGGGGTCTGTAGAGACGGGGTTATCTATCTCAGCCGGCTCAAGGGCTGGCGAATCTGATAATTCTGACTCTGTCTCTATTGTCAAAGGGGTGTTTAGTATAGTTGGCACTGAAATGGCCAAGTTATACCTTTGTTTAACGAATATTAAGTTCTCTCGCAATCTGTTTAAGAACTTTGATACTCGAGACCAATGGGCTTTGTCTAGCCGGTCTCTCTGGTCATGTATCAGTATACGCGCAGTGTTAAAGCGGTTTACTAATATTTCAGCATGTTTGTTCACAGTATTTTGCTGTGCTTGCCGAGTTCTTGATAATGACTTATACGATTTGTCAAAATCAATTTTTATATAGTTTAATTCCTTGTATAATTCGTCCCATTCCATTATTTAATGGAATTATTTTGTGAACGAAGCTCGAATCATAACTAACTTCCTATTTCTAACCTCTCTTAAACAATAGAATGGCTAGTTTGCCCAAATAGAAATAGATGAAATGGTTTGGTTCGTGAGATACATAAGATCCGAATTCAGTGCCGACAATGCAATGCCATTTAGGTTTGAATTGTATATCGAACTGATTTTTAATGTGTTCGGCAATCTTATTTTCGATGCTATTCTCGTTAAGAGCCTGTCTTGCACAATCAATGGCAATTTTCTGCATCTCCTCACTCATATCGGTACTCCTAATGTCTGCTTTATTACTAGACATTGTGCTGATTTTTTTTTTAATTATTTATTATTTTAAATCATTATTATTTAATTACAAGTAATGTATTTCTTATATATTTTTTTTTATTTGTTTTTTAGTTCTTAATATATTTTACATAGTCATACATATTTTTGTTTTTATTCTATATATTATTTTCTTATTTTTGGATATTAGTTCAAAAACATTTTATTTCAAATATTGTGAGCGCTTATTATATCTTGTCCAGGTCATTAGCCTGGCTTTTATTTATTGCTCTTTTTGTTATGCACCTATTGTGGAACATATAAGCTTTATACAAAATGACTGCGCACAGAATAAAAACAATGATTGACAATAAAATGTTTGTTAACTGTGAATCAATATTTTGTGTCTCCACCTTATTAATTACATTTGCAGTGGAATCCACAGTTTTTAAATCAACAAGACCCATTTCTAATGTTGTATCTATTGGTTTTTCATTTTCCCTTTTATTTTCAATTGGGTTGTATTTTTTAGTTTTATATAATTTTTCTGAGAAGTAATAGTCAGAATCATTTGTTTGATCTGTTTTACTTATTCTATTACTTCTCATTAAAAGGAAAAATTTTTTTTTTTTAAAAGAATCTTAGTTGTCTAACATCTTTTCCTACCTATTATTTGTACAGCTATACGGGCCATACGACTAATTGGGCAGAAAAGGTTCCGCTCAATTTTACAAGTTATATTATATTATAAAAAAAATATGCATCGCAGTGCAATCAAAAAAATTATGCAACGCAGTGCATTGGTAAAAAAATATATGCGCTTCCCTTTTTTTTCCTTGGTCTGAGCCGCTTCTGACCACGTCAGCTGGTCGTCGCCGGTTTGGCTACGCTGACGTTCCCTCGATGGCGCAGGTGGCGGTCGTGCCTCCCACGCTTTATGTCTGCTGCTGCTGTCCTGGGCCTATGGGCTCAGGCGGTACCGGTGCTGGCTTCGCACAGGCAACTTTTCCCACGGAGGTGTAAGGGGCGGATTGCCTCTCGCACTAATCGTCTTTCCTTGTGCATGTGTATTTGCAATGCACACTGTTCAGCGGTCCAGGGCAGTCGGCAGGGCACGTCTTTTTGAGTTCCGGTAATGGCTTGGGCGATGGAGGTTTTGTTATTATTTTTTCATTAACTTTTTTTATTGGCACTGAGTGAGTGGCGGCGATTTTTGGGCGTTTATTTTTATTAATTTGTTCCTTCAGGAAATCTAATTCCATCTGAAGTTTTTGGGTCGTGGCCCATGCGGGAGGTGGAGTATTTACGTAAAGTAGCCACTTTAGGTGTGCTATTCTCTTTTTTATTTTTTTTGCAACTCCTCCGCGATTGGCCATTGCCTTCACTCTAAGCTACTTCCGCTATTCATTAGCTTTAGTAACTCAGCCTTTCTGGCCTTTAGCTTGTTCATCACTCCACTTTTTTCGCACATCACATCCCACTCACTGCGTTTTTGCCGTTTTCCATTTTTCCTCCGTTTTTCAAAAAATTGTTTTCATTCCAAGTCCAGCTTTCTCGAATTTATTTTTTCCATTCCAAGTCCAGCTCTCTCGAATTTATTTTTTTTTTTTTTTTATAGTTCAATCCAGTTTTTTTTTTAATCCTTCCGAATGTGAGGTCCTTTTATAGTCAAGATATAACTGTCACGGTCGCCATGTTATCATATGATTTGCCCATAGAAAACTCCAAGGGATATATTTAAATGTTGGGTTTCTTTATTAATAGGAGCAGCTGAGGTGCCGCTCCAACGATCAGAATGTCTCTGTCTTTTACAATATTTCTTAAGTCTAATTAAGGCTAAGTCTCGTAGCTGCGCTGCTCGCAGGCGGCGGCAGAGAGACGGTTATATATTCTTAAATACATAAACACATAGCTATGCTCGCTTAAGGCTAAGCGCGGAGATATATGCACATACATACATGTGGTCCGCTCGTGTTGCATTTATGCTGACACTTGCACTATTTGTGTGCGGGCCAATGTATAAGTGGGCAGTTCATATTTCGTCCACTTGAGGTTCATGACTTTTGTAAACACTGCAACAAAGTGTTACAGTGTGTACCCGATAAGTACTCTTGGTACAGTGGGTATTCAATATATGTGCATACTACACGTCATCAACATCGTCCATCGAACGTGAGCTGTCAACAACTTCTGTGTGCGAGCGATGGGGACCATTGTAGTTGCTTTTCCACCGGACTTCACGAAGTCATCAGCCGCAACCACCGCCCCCAGGACCGAGCCACCAGCCCCTAAGAGCCACCCAAGCCCCACCATCAGCCCGCAATGTTGACTTTTGCTCGAGTGACGAAATTAAATCGATGCCCGGCAAATGCCAATGCAGCTGGCGGAAAGTCCTTAAAGCGGACCGACTGCTGAAATAACCCGAAAATTAAATCCTGGCCAAGTTTGTGATAAATTTGCTTATGCCGGCAACTTAATGGAGAGTTTGCCATTCTATTTTCATTTTTCTTCTGTTGAGCTTGGACCGCAGACGGCAGCCGGAAACCAGAGAAAACTAAAAGTCAACAGAAAGCCATAAGTAGCCAGCGCCAAGAAGTGCGCAAGGCTTAGCAGCAAATCACTGAGCAGTGTGAACAGTGTGAACAGTGTGAACAGTGTGAAGAGAGCGAGATGGAGTGTAGCTGCTTGAAAGGATTTCGCACCAACAACTGCCAAGTGACTCAAGATTTTGCAGTTGTCTAATAAAGCTTAGTGCCAAATCCTAGAATTCAAATGAAACCAAGGCGAAGAAAGGAGTCTTAATTGTGGCCATTGTGTGTGCTGGCTTTCTAAGAAAGGAAGCTTTAAAAGGACTTTAAGTCAGATGAATTTGAGTGTCCGAAAGGAATCACACGCTTCATTAGTCAACCACTGACCCGCATTTCTACCCTAAAGCCATTTCAGACCAAGGTCGATTGCAAAAAATTTGGCCAGGTGCCGTCATCTGATGGGATAAATAAATAAATAAATAAATTCCTTCAATGGCTTAAGTAGATAATATATATTATACACTGCTTCCCTACCCACCTCTCACCGGGGGAAGTATTTGGTGAGAAAAATATTTAAATTTCATTAAAACGTCGCTGCAATTGCAGTCATGCCGCTGGCATTCATTGCAATGGCGTAATGTAAAAAATATAATTTGCATATTAATACTCAAAGGGGTGGCGGGCGGCTTTAAGGGTGTGAGTTTCTATGGTATTTTTGTACCTTTTGCAGAGGGTATCTTGAATTTTTAGCAACGGTTGTGACGTTTATTATTATTATTACCTTGGGTTGCTTTCATAGATCGGATATAGTTTGGAATATAATTATATGTTTGCCCGGTAAAAGAGTATATTAGATTCGTTCACTTGTAACAGAGAGATCAGAGTCCTTTTAATAGAAAAAATCCTGCCTTCCGCCAACGGATTTCACATCGAGATGTCAAGAACAATAAAGCTAAACTAATATACATATACATTAATAATTAAATTAAATTACTATTTTCTTATATTTTTATGCTAATTTAAATTTCAGGCGATGAAAGTCTATATCCGATTCATTTATTGATTATTTCCTAAGGCACCTACAATTATATATTTACAAATAAAAAGATTAATTTATTATTAACTTTAATATGCTCCAATTCAAAATATGACTTCATATCATTGCGTTAGCTCACATTCACATTGATTTGGTTAAAGTCCGCTGTCGAATGCATTTCTCTAATTTACTTTGAATTAAGAATCGGAGCAGCATCCCTTATTTTCCACTCCACACTCAGTAATTTTGTGCTTTCTCCTGTTGTCCTGTTAAAATGTATAGGGCTGCGGCACAGTGGCGCAAAACGGCAGTCGCCACCCACAACCCCAACCCCTTTCGCCACCCCTTGTGACCACTTTAGAGCGCACCTGAGCGTCAGGGCAGCCGTCAGTTTGCCGTCAAGCGCCGACTGCCATTTAAATTGTGCACGCCGCAGAATGAGAAAAGTTTCAAATACTTTTCGCCACATGTGGACACTTGTCCGGGGTGCAAAAAAACATATAAAAAAGGGTGGAGGGATGGGGTGAGGGGTTGAAATGCTGCAACACAAGTGTCGCGTCGGAGTGCAACGACTTCTGCCGCTGTGACAGTCCAAAACAATTTGGGGATGAATTAATTTCAGCGAGCGCCGCGCAGTATGCAACACTTTTTCGCCTTTTTTTTTGCAGCTCGTGTGTGTGCGTTGCAAAGTGAATTTGCCATCAGCCTAATCTCAGACGGGCCAGAACCCTCCCCCTCTGCACCCCTACCCTTTCTCCTCCTCCCCCTTTTCACCTGAGCCTCCTGACCCACCTCTCTTGGGGCCAACGAACGACTGCATCGCACTTAGTTAAATGAGAAAGGGCAACAAATGAGCAAAAATGTTCGCGCTTCCTGTTGTGCGGCACGTGTGTGTGCGATGGGTAAAGGTGTACAGAGGTGTACATAGGTGTAGAGAGGTTTACAGAGGCGCAGGAGCTACAGTGGAGCTTGTCTGCCCGTCAGGTGGAAAGCACTTAACAGCGGTAATGCTGCAGGCAGCATCCCAGTGATGCCGCACATTCAGAGAATTGTCTATTAAAAATGGGTAATGGACTTACTTTAACTAATTATAATTAGTTTTGGTTAATGAAGTGTATAAAGTGCAAATATAAACAATTGGAAATATTCTTAATAACTAAATGAGAAAAAAGGTAATGACTATATAATATTTGACAACATTTCATGATGTACATTTCATTATATACAAAATTACATTATAATAACATAAGGTAAACCTTATGATGATAGGTCTGGTAAATGATATTTATACTTATAAATCGTATAGAACATTGGGAGTTAGAGGAGATAATTAAAGTAACATGCTTAGAACTTGAAAATTATGAACAAAAACCTTTTCCGGAGTTTTTGTTTCATTGATAATTTGGATGTAGTTCAAGAATGTATATCATACACTTATTGCCTTCTTAATCTGTTATTTATGAACTATTCTTTGTAAAGTTCTGTTTAACTCAATTTATTCTATTAGCAGTTAATATATAAAATATCTATAATGACATCCTTGCTGCATATCTCCACAGAGGCGAGATGCAATGTTCTCTTGCTGGAGGGGCGGGTTAAGCCGTCGCGACCCTCGGAGGGTTGACTTGTGTTGTCGCCCACCGGCTGGTTGATTATGCTGCATAATAAAAGGGAAATGCCACCAGGCCACTTGCCGCCCTTTCTCACAATTATTTTTTGTTGTTTATTTTCATTCGTAAATATCGCTTTTCATCGGTTTCTATCGCATAAAAACGGAAAAACATTCCCATGCCCATTCCCGTCCCCATACCAACCCTGAACTTTGCTTTGCGGTCGCCGTGTGCCTTCTGCGTTGCTAAAAGGAAAAAAAAAATAGAGTGGGGAAAATGGAAAAAGGGAAAAAGCGAAAAGCGCTAACGGAAAATGTTCGACGGTCGACGAGTCAGTCGAGCGGAGCGGTGAGTCAAAAATTTGTAGACGGCATCACTCCCCATTCCAGTAACTTACCCTCCTACAAATACTCCTAAAAATAATCCCTACCTTTTGTTTACACAATGAAAAAGGTTATTTAAATTATTTATAGAAGTTTTAAGTTTAATATAGGTATTTTATTAGAGATAAAGAACAGAAAAGATAAAGAACTGTGTATAAACTTTAAGTTGTAGGATAAACGTATTGATAAACCTGCAACCTTATAAAGTAATTTTTAGTTCAGTAATTTTAGTAAAGCCTATTTGTTCTGTCTTAGATTTAATATCAAAAAAAGTAATATACTACATTTGAAATACTGGTTTAATTTGTTTAATCCTTAATTAATACCATAATAATAAATAATTCCTTTTAACTAATTTAACTTAGTTGACCATCATAGGCTGATCCTTATCTGTATCCTTAATCTCAAATTAGTTAAACAATTATTTATCTTTTTTAACTATATTTAAATTATAAAATACTGTTGTATCTTTACTTGTAGCTTCCGGAATCTATGGCATTTTTCTCTTAGTGCCTTTCCCTATATTTCGCTGATGACGTCGGCAACGGCGCGCAAACGCAAAACCCGCTCAGGCGTGAATCGCTGGCGACGACCCCGGCCACCCCTGGATGCCACTCTCGTGTTTCTGGCCTGTTTACACTGGCGAGGCTTGTCTAGCATAAAGTTACCTTCTTGGCTGCCATTTGGAGATTCATTTCGCCGAGTCTTAGATACATATTCAATTTTATGCTTGGCATGTGCCGCCAAGGTAAACTTTGGCCCGGCGTCTGGCGCGGATTCAGATTCAGAATCTGACTCAGAATAAGATCCAGAAACACGGACAGAGACGGGCCTCGAGTACAGTTGCCGATTCCGATTCCGAATCCGGCGCAGATCTGACTTTTGCCCGCTGATTACTTGACATATGTTGGCGCTGTTTGTTTTGTGCGGCGGCGTGTAAAACTGTTTTGGTTACCTCCACTGACTCCTCCCTGGCTTTTTTTTTGGGGGGCCCACCGAAGGTTAATTTTGGCCAAGCTTTTGCTCGTAAAGTGCGGCCCCCCTTGGCCCCTCGTCCTTGGGGGAGTCACGGTTCTGGTTCTGGCGAAACTTGACAGCTGTGTGATAAATGAAGCGCATGAACGACACAAAATGCAACAGCAGCAGCAGCACTGGCAACATCCGAAGACGCAGCAGCAGAAGCAGCAGCAGCGACAAAATAGCAACAACATCCCCTAGCTTGACCTAGGCCATCAGCCCCGCGAAATGGCCAAAAGCCCTCCCCCTTTTTCTCGTTGCGAACGGAGACCCCACCTTCTTTGGCAAGTTTGTAACAAAATTTACTAATTTAATTTTTGCAATTTGGTTGAGTTTTCGCTTGCTCTCTTTGCCACTCTTCCTCGGTGGTACCTTTGCATACCCCTTTCGCTCTGCAGTTCATCCCCTAGCCTGGTGCTTACCTTACCCCATGCTCCACTCCGCTCCAGGATGTTGGCAACGTGCTGCCAGTGGCACTTGCAGCGTTTCGCGACTGTTGCAAGTGGCACGTTTCACGTGCTGAATGCCGAGGCCACCGACATAAACTACACGGTCAGAAAATCAGTTTGGGGCAATCTCCCTTAAAGAGTTTGATTACCTTGATATATTTTTAAATGCAGATATATTTTCCTTCTGGTTTTAATCTAGTTTAATAGGATTTTAATTCAGGTTTTAAATAATTTGCCTTCCTATTTATTATATTGTTAGCAGATTGATTATCATGTGATGTATCTTACTACGAGCTCATTTGACGCCTTAACTTTAAACAAAACCTATTTAAGAGCTCAAAAATAAATCAATATATATCCTACAATTGAAAAAGTTATTTTGTTTAATTATTATTATTTTATTTCTACTGCAGCTATTCATGTTTATCCAAATGATTTTAAAATGTCGCATAGTCATATCATTGAATTATGTTAATGAATATTTTTCGGCAGCCCAAAATGAGCCTTTGATTAATGGCCAACTTGCAATTAAATTCTAATTACCCAGTTGTAATATTATTTTTTTAAGTGACCACAGGTTATTATGGACATTGGCAAGTATGTAGTTTTAATGTGCCAGTAATTGCGTTTAATCAAAACAATCGTTATTATTCAAATTTTGATTTGTTTAGTGTTTTGATTATTGGTTTAAACTTTACCAAAACCATTTCCGCTCCTAATCTCGATCAAATTTCTTTGGGTGTATGCCAGTGCCGTCATCGTGGCAACTAATGTTGCATTATTAAGTTTTGAACTTTGTTGTGAGGCGACATAGTGCATCCGCCCAACAAGGACAACAAAACCGGGAACGGCAGCAGGAGCGACATCCTTTTGCCTCATTGCACGGAAGATGCAGCTGAAGGTGTCAATGCTGTATATATATTCGTACGTATATATAGAGTGTGTACCTTGTTAGATCATTAAGAGTCCATTAGTCATTAAGTATGCCAGCGAATGTCACTGCAGCTGTTGTCACCTCCTCTTGGCATCCTCCTGTGAGGCTGGGGCGGAATATATGTAATTCCATTTGATTTTAATGGGAAATTTGTTGGGTAAGCACACCACCGCTTAGGGGAAGTGGGGCTCCGGGTCGGTCGCGTTGGCATGCTTCAAAAATCTTGGCAGTTAATAGACACCTGACTGCCGCCGCTCATGTGGAAGGCCCGATAGGAGCCCAAGCCCCGACCATGTGAGTGGCTCGGCTTATCTTCGCCGGAAAATGGGTTAACAGGGTGCTCTATTCGGGGCAGCCACCTTAAATTAGGCAGGGATTGCAAGACAGCAACTAAGACCATAAAAATCCCAGTTACTCCCAGTTACTTTAACGGTTTTACGACCATCGAAATGCGTGCGGGTCCCAAAAACGGTTAATTAAATGTTGTCTCCTTAACAACAGGGTGTGTATTTCATTTGGTTGTGCGGGGGAGGGGTGTAGGTAAGTTTTCCGGGGGCCACTTGAGCGTGAAAACTAATTGCAGACCGGAGCCAAGACGAGAACGTATTCGGATTACCCACTCGAAAGAAGGTTGGACGCGAAGCCAGCCAAGCGTTGGATGCGACATAATCAGAGTCAAGAACCGTACCATTTACAGCGCAGCAAATGTAGTAGAGTGTAACTGTCATAGGAACAGTGATTTGATGATTCTTAAGTATCAATATTTCCCTTTATAAGTAGCCATCTTAACTAATAGTGGAATATATTAATCATACGCAAGTTAAATTTGAATTCAAATCTATAACCGAGTTGGCAGCACTGAACGGCAAATCAAAATGGCGCAACGCTGGATTTTTGCACGCCACGGTCACACCTGATCAGTTTTTTTTCTCTTATGGTGTTTATTGCGCGTGTGAAATCGGATAGTTTTCTTAAAAGATGCTGAATCGTGTGTGTATACCCCGGAAGTGCAACATAACAGGAACATATTGGAATCGTATTGGCCCGCAAGTCTGGATTGCTAGCCATGCGGCCGCCATCGATCCCAGCCATGGATCGCAGCGTGTCCGCAATGTGTGTGCGGCCAGGAGCACCCGCCGCGCACAACAGGAAGCCATGTTTTCTTTTCTGGAATGCAAAAAAGGAGCTTATTGTGCATATCGTGGCTACATATATAGTATATACATATATTATATACCTCATCTCGTTGCGCACATGATGAACTAGATGTTTTTACTTGTGCGCCACCAACGAGAGGCAGTACATCGCACACATCACATTTCTGGTGTCTTCTTCTTCTTCGTCGGCCAGCGGCTGCCAACTCGTCGCTCGCAAAGGGAGCTTTTTGTGTGTTCCTGCCAGCGGGTATTCGCAGTGTGTTTATACTTGAGTATTAATAGTTTAAATATGATTATTTGTTAACTTACTGAGCAACAATAACTTATAAATCTTTACGATTCCAATTTAGCATACCTTTGTTGGATAAATCTGGACTTATTTATATAATGTACGTGGAGATCTACAGTTACACAAGCTCACATATAAAAATCTGCTGACAGCTTTGGACTTCTGGTGAGTCCGGCATAGCCGTTTTTATTTTTACATGTATAACACTTTAATATTTATAGTACATTATGGGTGAAATATCTGGTATTTTCGCACATACATATATCATTTTTGTTTCATATTTAGTGACCATAAAAATACGTTTAGTAGTAACTTAATATTTTCCATGAACATAGTAAACTGTGACTCTTCCCTTACTTTAGTGAGTCACTGTAATCTTAATCAGCATAAACACCCAAGTTAATTTAGGAACTAAACAAATTTCGTGGACATTGATCATAGATGCAAAAGTATATAAACTTTGGCTTCCAGAAGACAGCCTCCTTTTTAGTAGAGTCTTCCCTTCTACATCTGAAACTATTTAGTTCTTGATAAGATAATTTATAAATAGGTGGAATCTGAGTCGATTTAAAGTAAAGGGTGGGTATAATATAATCGTTTTAACATTTGAATCTCCTCTTCGATAGGTTATTGTCTGATTTGTAAGAAGTTAATGTAAATGAATTGTTGCTTTTCTTACGGAAATGATAGTTTCTGCTGCAACAAACTTTCCAACAAGTGATTAACTTGACAATTGTATACCTAAAATCTGACAAACTCTCGCTTGTAATATCATAAATAATGTTTACTGAGCATCGCTTATGTTAGACAGCGCTCAATGAGAGTATCCATTACAACATTAGTACCTCAAATTCTCTAAATTGACTTATTTTCGAGTTTTTCCTGAGTGCACCTCCCATGATTCCGCTACATGTTGTCTTACCACGTTGTAACTGCAACAATTTCCACCCAGAGTTAGCAACACACTCAAACCGGATCGAACCACTCGCTCGCTGAGCTCGTGAAAAAAACGTAAACACAACACGTTCGATGGTCTTCCAAGTTGGCCAAGGGGTTTAAGCCTGTTGGCATAGGTCGCTCGGCAACGTTCGGCAACCAAGCACGAAGTGCGGCAAACAGCCGAACTGGGAGCCAAAGTCTCTGTCCGTGCTCGGTCTGGAACGGAACACCTTATATCGGAACAGTCAGTTTAATACGGTACATCGGGCGGATCGGACGTCTATAGCTGCGGTTCACGCGATTCGTCGTCTGCAGGGGAACCAGTGACTAAGTGGCCAGTGAACAGTGTGAGCAGTGACCAGTGCCCTCAGCGGTGACTCGTGAACTGTGACCGAGAATTGTTGCACTTGGAATCGCATAAATATTGAAAAGGTATATACATAAGCCCCCCTGGTAAACAAAGTGATTTGAGAGTGAGTGTGTTTGTTTTTTGGAGTCACGTGTAAGCGGGAGACTTTTGATCCCCCCAAAACCCGAATGTTTGTTGATTTTGTTACTGGCAAGTGTACCACCCGAGTGCTATACTATATCCATATATTTTGCCGTATATGTAAGTGCGGAGGTGCCGGGAAATACTTTGACACACTTTTACTTCGTGCCCAACTCCCGGCCATCGGTTATGGCATGGCCTCGAAAAAGTTACAACTACTATGCTGTACGGTACGGCGCTGGGAAAGGAGCCAGCAAGGACGAGCAAAATCTCGACTGAAAGAATGAAACGCTGTTGTCATTGTCGTCGTCGTCGGTCGCCTTTGGCTCATCAATAAAAATTTCCTTGACATTTTATGGGCCAAAGGATTGCGAGAGCACAGTTTACTGACTCCTTTCGCCGGGATGGCCAATATATTAAATGCGACAACGGATTAAACGCTCGGTTGCCCTTTTTATGTCCGCTTATATTTATGGACAATTATTTAAAAAATTGCCCTTCTCCGCTACGAAAGTTCACACACATTTATGGTCTGTGAATGTTTTATGATGCTCCTTCGAAGAAATTGGTTTGTTGCTCCTTTTTTGGGAGCCACTTGCTCCCGTTCGGCAGCTCGGCAGTGGGAAATTTAATTAAGCTTCCGCGCGATTGTTTATAAATTCATGTTAATGATATTTGGACAGCCATCCCCTCCCCCCATCCGAAAAGTGTCTGCAATTACGCGGAATCGTTGGGCGCGAATTCCTTTGGCAAAGTTGTGAGAATTTTGCGCTAATTGTTTTCCTCGGCGGAGCAGTCAGGCTCAATCGTCGCCAGCTGTGCGGCAAAGGACCTTCGTTCAGGCTCGTCTCAGGCTCAGGCACAGGCTGGGGCTGAAGTCTGAGTCTTCCCCTTGGTTTTGATATGCAAATGGCCTTAAATTCCACACTTGAATTGAAATGGAATTGCCTCAAACTTTTCGCTTCTCCCCCAGCACTGAGAACCCAACACCCATCCCGCAGAGAAACAGCTGAAAAACAGTTGCCAGGCGGCACGTGCGGCTCAGTCGTTTAATTTTAAATGCCAAACATTTTTATTAATGGTTATTGCCGTGAGTGGCAAAAGTGGCCCAGAGTTGGTGTAATAATCGAAGATTGTTTTGCCATTACGTAAAGTGCGCTGCAGAACTTAAAGTCACTGCCAGGGCGTGGGAATTTATTTATGCAGACAGAGAAAGAGAGAGAGATTGAATCATCATCAGGATGCGCATCAAACAGACATTTATTTAAATATTTTGACAAACTTTTGACGACATTTCGCGCAATTTCGAGGCGATGTGTGTGTGCGATCCATCCTTGTTTTATCCTTCCGATGTGTGAGTTTGGGAGTTTGGCATTTATATCAATTTCTTTATTCCTCACGGCTTTCCACTGCCTGCATTTTGGCAAACGGGAGAAATCTCTTGGCCACCCCTGCTCTAGGAAATTTATGTACGCGTTTTATGGCTTGTGGGGCCTCGTAAATAAGAAAAATGTTGCAGCAGCGCCAGGATATCGAGGTTTTATCCCTCTAGCACATGTGGCGGCAAGTTAGAGAGGCTTCACTTGATCCACAGCTCCTGCGTCAGCCTGGCATCCAATCAGCATTTCCCTGGAAAATAGCAGAATGAAAATTATTTCATATTTCGCATGACATTCGGGGCCAGGAGTAACTGTGCCTCAAATGGCACATTTAATATTTGATTTGTTTATTCGATTGCGTTTGCCACAGTGTCCTTGACAGCAGAGTTGTCCTGGATTTTGCAATCGGAGACGAAGTCGGAATTCGAGCTGAGATTCGCAAATCGAATTAAAAATTTTGTGCAAAAATCGATTTGGTTTTCACAAGCCCAAGAAAATGTCCGAGAATTACCTATGTATCTGGGAATGAAAATGAATGAAAATTTTTAGAATTGCGAAATTGTGAAAATGGAGAATGAGTGAGTGAGTGTGTGAGTGAGTGTGAGTGTGAGTGTGAGTGTGTGTGAGTGTGAGTGTGGCCGAGCGAGAAGCACGCACACACGGCCAGAGGAGCGTGCAATGCCAGCGGGAGTGGGTGGGAGGAGCGGAAGTGAGAGGGCCAAATTAGTTTGTAGAGTCTGTAGAGTGGACCAAAAAACAAAGCCTAGTTCGTTAAACTTGCCCGTTTATGAATTTATACACACACAGACACACACGCACACCTTTTGTTGCTGCCGTGGCTAGCCAAGCAGAACGCGGCAGTCGCAGTCGACGTTGGATTTTATTCAGTTTTCGGTTTAGTTTTCATCCAACATTTTATGCACAGCTAAAAATAATACATCGAAATTGAAGATACAAGTTTGAAATTTATAGACAAACATTTTTCTTATCAATTTTTGAACATTTTTCATCATTTTACTAGTACTTTTTTTTATTAAAGACTTAAATTGACATAGTATTTCCCAGCAAAATAATTGGTTTAACAAATGTCAATAAAGTTTGGCAAATAAAATGGAATCTATATCGCATTTTGTAAAGTCTTATTACTTTATGCTTGAATAATTGAGACTTATAGGTAAAATAAGTTTAAATATCCTTAGAAAACCCTACTTCTCCATGAGTATTTCTCTCTGTGTGAGTGGCGAAAAGCAACAGAAAGTTCCACCCCCTTTGCTAATGGTGTTTGTGCTGCTGCTGCTGCTGCTGTTGCTGTTGCTGTTGCAATTGCCCCTGATATTGCATCAACAAATGGAGCTGGAGAACAGAACCTGCTCTCCGATGAAACACCACCCTCCCCCACCCTCTTGGCATTTTCTTGTTTTGTGAACCAAATTTGAATATTAAAACAGAATTAGCCAAGTGCGGCAAGTGCAGTCTGTGCCACTCCGCCCATGTTTTTCACTGTTCACCGGAAACGGAAATGCGCCGGGGTCGGGGTACTCGGCTCCTCGCTTGCATGGGCAGGGCAATTAATGGGAATTATTGATATGCACAGAGGTCCGGGCGGTCCTTGAGTCCTTGAGTCATTGAGTCAATAACTGTCCTACTCTAGTTGGCCAATTTCCCGGGAATTTCCGTTACTTTTGCTTTTCTTTGAATGCGGCCAAGAGGCCTTTCCTCGAAATCAATTGCAATGGTCGTTGTCTTCGCGGAAAAGAGTTGCAGCACGCAATTAAATGAGGCTTAGTGGGCGCGAGCCCCCACAATTTGCATATTGAATATGGGCAATTGGAAATCGTTTTATATCACTCGGTTTTCTTTTCAGTTTTCCCTGTATACTCGCATAGTCTCTCTTGCTCTAATGAGCTGTTTCGTTTCGCGTGGGTGTTGAAATCTAATAATTGGAAATCTGAGCTAGCCACCGTGAAGAGATTGCAAAAACAAACAAGTAAACATAAAAAAAAACAAACAAATAGACGGGCGGGGCTAACAGGCCAATATCTCAACTGAACGGCGCTAAAAAGCAGAACAAGAAGCCGAGCCAAATGAAAATGGAAAAACAAAAAAAGTGAGCAGTAACCGTTAGAATGGCACCTGCCACAGCGTCTGCGGCTAAAATTTCAAATTTCCATTTAGAAAAACACCACAACCAGATGCAAATAAAAACAAATTTGTGTGTATGGCCGTGTGGCAGCTGCATGCGCAACTTTTCCATTGTGTGTGCTCCTAGTTTATTCTGTATACATATATATATTTCTCATATTTTTGTCGAATTTTCCGGCCCTGCGAACCGCACCCTCGCATCATGCCCAAAACTT